CTATTCACACCCCGTAAGTGTAGGTCTTCATCGCCACACAAGGCACCAATGACTAAAGGTGCACCAATATCTCGCCCATATACTCACTAAAACCCAACATGTCCATTGTGCTCAAGACCTATCACGCCATTCTTCACAAAACTGATTTTCTGTTGATAGCTAGTTGTTTTTTTTCCAGAGTATGGACTGTTCCAAAGCAGCTGAATTTGCCACCTTTACACCACAAATGGTTATTCTAGTGGTACAGATTTTTCTCTGTATTTTGTCCATTGCCACTAATCTACTATTTATCAGATACTGTAAAAAAGCTTTATTTTTTCATAAAGGCTGCCGGGTACGTCCTTTTTCCAAGTAATGTTTTCTCTTCTACACAAAATAAAAATAAATAATCGAATTCTCGATCTCATAATCTTTTCATTTCTTCACTAGATCGGATTTTAGGTATTGCTTTGGACGGTGATTGCGGTGAATATATTACACTCAATACTTATTCTAATATTACAGGTAAAAACTATCCTAAAATTTTATATTTGGAGGATTTTACATCTAGATCTCACCAACAAACTATTGGTATCAATTCATCACTAATGGGACGTAGCTAGCTCATGGTAACAGATGGTTGCGTTCATACTTCCGGCACCGTCATCAGCGATTGACCTTTGACCAAGCCGTCGATCGATATTCACAAGCCTATGGGTGTTGCTGCATGTAACGAATCTTTGCAGTTGAAAAGGCGTATTTTGATGCGCTTTTCTTCACATGCTGGCTAAACACAGTTTTGAAATTTATGGTTACAATTTCCCTTCAGCATGGGTAGGCTGTCTTGCAAGACTGTAGTGCTTAGGAACGTTTCTTAGCCAGGGAATGCAGTTTTTTGTCTGGGGCTCGGGAGCGGAGAAACGGCAATGTGTTCAATGATATCATACTGACAATGAGAAGGCACAGGGAAAGGCTCGGAAAGAGAATTGTGTGAAAGCACAGATCGGCACAGAGCTTCGCCCTTCCTCAAACTATATTTTCATCATAGAGGTGATTACGCCTTTATGCGCGTGATTTTTCCCTTTGGTAGGCTCAGACAGACGTAAATGGAGCTAATGTCATTGGCTGCTTTCAGATTTCAACGATTGAACGGACGTCCGTCCGTTCATCCGTCGTGTGCGTGCAGCGACGGCGGTTCTAGACAGGGTTGACAGCGCTGGATACCGATCGATACAGGAAGACGGGATGATGAAATTAATCATCCCCCTGCCTTGCGGTATCGATCGGTACTCAGCGCTGTCAAGCCGGGTCCGGTATCATCCCCCCGACCACGGCATCGCGCTCGCCGCACACGCCGCTTATCGCCGAATTGCGATGAAAGCTTGGCACCTTGTGAGTTAGGGAATCCTATAATTATTTGAATTCCCTGGCTGCTCCCTTCAATTCCAACACCATTGCGGTCTTGGCCATCCATAACATAGGAGAAGTCATTCAAAACAATCAGTTTGAAAAACATCAAAACGAAGAAAGAAAGGAAAAAAAGCAATCAAAACCAATCAAAAAAGAGAAGCAGCCAATGGAAAATATTGCGTCCTATCGATTGGTGGGAGGCGGCCGAGTACGGTTATTGCAGTTTGGAGGGGTACGTGGACGAACGTGCGTTCGAGGAAGCGCGCGGCAAATTGCGCGGCGGAGTTTGTAACGATTTGAGCGACTTTGCCCCTATCATTAGGGCCAAAATTTGAAGTTGAGTAGATTAGAATGATCATCTTACTCTACTAAACTACTTTACTTCGAGTTTGTGCGCCGGAGAAAATTGGCGTCAGAGTCGTACAAATGGTCACGAACTTCGCCGCGCAAGTTGCCGCGCGCATCCTCGGACGCACGTAGTGCACGTCCCCCAGTTTGGAGCCGCGAGACAACTAAAAAAGATCCGCCGCATGCCGCAAAGCGAACGTCCGCAACCAACAGAAGTTCAGTCATCCCATTCGACCCTGTCTAGAACCGCCGTCGCGGCACGCGACTGACGGACGGGCGGACGGAGACGGACGGCCGTCGATTGAATCGTTGAAGTCTGAAAGCAACCATTGGCTTGAGTGATATCGATCTGAGGCGTTGGAGGTGTGAACGCAACCGTAGTGATAGCGCAGATTTCAAAGGCAGCCAGCTCTGCTATACGGGGGACGGAACTTACGTACGTCCAAGGATGCGCGCGACAAATGGCGCGGTGAAGTGCGTAGCGATTTGAACGGCTCTGGCGCCTATCATTGGGGCCCAACTTTGAAGTAGAGTAGATTAGTAGGATTAGCTAACCATACTACTCTACTATACTCCAAGTTTGTGCCGTGATAATAAGTGCCAGAGTCGTTCGAATCGCCACGAATCTCGCGGCGCAATTCGCCGTGCGCATCCTTGGACGCACGTATGTACCCATACCCCTGCTATACCGTAAACAGCCACTATTGCTCAAAAGTTTTGATAACATCTATGTCTATGTCTCGGGCCCAATATATAGTTTTGCAAATACTTCCATTTAAGGTGACACATGTCGTCAAGATTCTCACTTCTGTCGAAGCTTGCGATGTGCTGGTGCCGCCGTTGTTTTGTTTCGTGTTCAGAATGCCAGCAACAGCATGTTTCTCAGCTCATGTTACCGTCCATTTCGCGATGGCTATTGAAAGAGGAATTGCAACTAAGCAGATGAGTACTTATGAGAGGAGTGATGGTAGAATCGGATTCATCATGGCCATTCTATCGGTAATTATTTTTCTCGGATTAAAATTTCAAGAATTTCAGTGCTTTATTAAGACCATTCGGACCGTCCGGCTGACGCCGGGCTTTCCTCCTTCTTGTGTGAAAGTCGGAATGCCCGATTAGAGTTTCGCGCCCACCAATTCCGTACAATTACTTCAACGTGAATGATCACAACATTCACCGACACCGGGTGGTTTTGCCCGCAGTGGACGAC